TGTTTCTGGGAAGGTGGTTAGGTACTAATGGAGTTTTAAAGTGGCCGGCTAGTTCACCAGATTTGACCCCATTGGATTTTTTCGAAACATTGTATATCAGGGCCCTATAAAAGACATGGCAGATTTGTATAATAAAGTTTATGCAGCTACGGCGGCTTTAGATCGCGAAATTTTATTTAAGAGCTTGTAATGTCGAACTAACGAGAAGACTAATATTGTGTATTAATGCTGAAGGACGTAATATTTATTATAATTTTTGTTTTCACATACTTCAGTAACTACATCTACATCTCCGTTATTATTTTAAATACTTTCTGTCACTTTTTCTATAATATGATCATTTGTTTTTTATAATTTATTGTTTATTAATTATTACGTGGTTATAACGATATTTATAGGCCAGGAAAATCAGCTGGGAAACGACCATTTTGCGACTTTTTGTTTCGGCAAGCCGAATTGATCAATATACAGGGTGGCCAAATGAAATCGAAACAGAGCCATTTTCAGGAACTGCGTCAAGATTGTAAAAAAACGTTCAGCCCCGTCGAATTTAGATTAAAGGGGGACATTCTTTGCTGGTGTTTTTGACTCCGCCACTTTCACCCCCCAAGCAAGGGTAAGCATCACCCCAAAATATTTAAATGGCATTGGGGGTTGAATAATATTTCTTTTGAAAAATCTTAAAATTCTCTTAACAACAGACTAAATTTTATAATTCCGCCCAATACTTTACATTTTAAAATTTAAATTATGTTTAGTTGCTTACTTACTACTTAGTTGATTAAATGTTCAAACTGATGACCGCCCGCTTCCATACAATAATAAAGATTTTGTTCGAAACGTTCGCGCACATTCCGAAGCATTTCCGGAGTGATTCGACGGCATTCGTCGACGATTCTTTGATGCAAATCTTCCAGCGACGCTGCTGTGTTTTATAGATTTTACTTTTTAGGTATCCCCAAAAAAAGAAATCACGGGGCGATAAATCCGGTGATCGTGGAGGCCACTCAATGCTGCCTCTTCTCCCAATCCAATTCCGTAGTAAACGTTGGTACAAATACGGACGGACAATTAACGCATAGTGCGGAGGAGCACCGTCCTGTTGAAAAATCAAATGATCTTCATAACACTCTGGAACATTTTCAATAATATCAGTCAAGGCAGGGTCAATAGCGCCTTCCAGTAATGAGCGTTTTTCTACAATCTTGACGCAGTTCCTGAAAATAGCTCTGTTTCGTTTTCATTTGGCCACTCTGTATATCGTTTCAGTGACTTGAAATATTACATACCTTTGCTTATGCAGATGTCTGTACAAGTAGGTGTTGAGTTGGTTGCCTGCGCTCTTAAGAGCAGGACAATTCCTTTTCAATTTACGTTTGTTCGAGTGGATTATTTTAAAAAGAGGAGGAGAGGAAAAGAAATAAAATCGCTCTGTAGTATGTTCTTTATTTTTTAGCTTATTATATACATGATATCATTTTATGCAGTATTATATTCAATACAATAAATATTACATCTAGATGGGCATACGTAATAAATTCATGGGTTGAATAATAATCCAATCCAATTAGTGTGGATAGTATGTATAATATATTATTACATATAGAATCACTTCCGGATTACGTGAACCATAAAGACAAAGCGAGAAATAAAACCTAATATAAAATTTAAAGCGAGTTTATAAAAAATACTTTTCAATACTGTGAAATACAAAGCTTACCGGGCGAAAGTTATGTCTATAGTTATGTATTTTTTTTGTAAAATGTGTCCATAGATACAAATTTTAAAAATAAAAAAATATTCACAGCGAAAAAAACTGTTTTTCTTGCGTCGTTTCAAGTCGCTTTAAGTCACAAATGAAATTGCTTGATCTGGATTTATATTTTATATACAGGACTGGAAAATCCACATGGTCCATCTGCCTTTACACGAGAACGACAAAGTAAAGTAAAGAAATCCGTGCGATAGACAAGGATGGCTATAGTGAAGACGTTTCATAATCTGAATAGTCACGGCTTGTTTCGGGTTAGAAATGGGAGTGACTATTCAGATTATGAACCATCCTTGTCTATCGCACGGATTTCTATGACTTACTTTATCGCTCTCACGTAACGGCAGATGTACCATGGGGACTTTCCGAACCTGTATATTATACAGAATGATTCATTAAAAGGGGAAATCTCAGAAATACTACAGTAGGATCATATTCGATCATTGCCTGTTAAGAGATCCAGTGCAGTACGGTTTTAAGGGGTTTAGAAATTGAATAATTTCTTTATGCATCATGAAGGGGGATGAAGGGATGAGTTCAGGTCTGGCACCCTCAGCTAAAAAATTGTCAGCTTACGTTTTTCTGCATGCCGGACAATAATTTTCCACTGTTGTTTTATACGAAAATAGATGGAAAACTTCATAAATTTCGCTGATCTGTGACGGAACTAACAGATAATTTCTGTGAACAACAAAAGAAAAAATACTGCAAAAATTATAAAATTTTCTACACCCCGCTTTTAACAATAAATATAATTAAAAAGTCAGTTAAAACGAAATCGAACTTGTAGTGTTGGGAAAATATTTCAAATGAGAAAGATTTTAGAAATCTGATGTTAGAAATGGGACTTCGATCCCTGGAAATATTTTAGAAGTGTCAGAATATGTTTAGCCCAATCGTCACCTTTCGAGATTTCCCATTTCTGACCAATCACCCTGTACAATTAACCTTGAGGGTTTCATTTTGAGGACTGAAGTCTATCAGTAGCCGCATTGTACGTTTTCTTAGCAGCCTTTCGCCCGATCTACAAACTAAAACGTATTAAATAAGTTAACTTACAATATTTTAGTCTTAATATAGGAACAGTCAATCTACATGTATAATAGTTTATAAGATTATATGGTGAATAATTATGGAAAAAAATGGCTTATCACATTCAAAATGAAATTACAAGTGTAATATTTTTAATGCTACGATTACATATATGTAGGCGTATGTATTTACTATACAGCTGAAATATAAGCTTTGAAGTCCAATTCAATGGGCCTTTAAATTGTAACATGCCTGAATATTTCATTGAAGTTAGTCCAAAGTATATAATATGTGATGGAAAAAATAAGATGTGTTTTTTCAAGACAACTTAAAAGGGGTAAGAGCTAGCAAAAAATATTTCGGATGAAAATTGTAGATCGGAAAATATTACATAAAAATTGTGTATTGACTTTGTCTTTTACTATTAAAATTAACAGAGTTAGGGAGGCTAGAAGTTAAAGGATATGAGAAATTTTAAAAAATCACAAACAGAAAAATAAAATAAATTTTTTTCCCTTCGGAAACTTTGAAAGCAACTTTTCATGATTTTAAATAATGAATGAAATGGTATAGAAAAAAATTATTTTAGTGTTGTTAAATCATTAAATGACAAATAAAAATTTAAAATTGTCAACTTTTTTCTTAAAAATTAAAAAATTTTTGATTTCTCTGAAATGAAGGTATGATTTTTTAAATTTTCTCATATCATCCCTTAACTTCTAGCCTCCCTAATTATGAGAAATTTTAAAAAATCACAAGCATAAAAATAAAATAATTTTTTTTCCTTCGGAAATTTAGAAAGCAACTTTTGATTATTTTAAATAACGAGTCAAATGGTATAGAAAAAAATTGTTATAACGTTTTTATTAAAAATTTAAATTTTTTTGATTTCTCTTAAAAGGTATGATTTTTTTAAATTTTTCGTATCATCCCTTAATTTCTAGCCTTCCTAACTATAAAAAATTTTAAAAAATCACAGAAAAATATTAAAAACTAAACAAAATTTTGATTTATCTGAAAAGGTATGATTTTTTAAAATTTCTCATATCATCCCTTAACTATGAGAAATTTTAAAAAAATCACAAACAGAAAAATATTAAAAATAAAAAAAGTTTTGATTTCTCGAAAAAGGTGATTTATTAAAATTTCTCATATCGTCCCTTAACTTCTAACCTTCCTAACTATGAGAAATTTTAAAAAATCACAAACAAAAATATTAAAAATTAAAAAATTTTTGAATTCCCTGAAAAGGTATGATTTTTTAAAATTTCTCATATCATCCCTTAACTTCTAGCCTCCCTAATTATGAGAAATTTTAAAAAATCACAAGCAGAAAAATAAAATAAATTTTTTTCCTTCGGAAATTTCAAAAGCAACTTTTGATTATTTTAAATAACGAATCAAATGGTATAGAAAAAAATAGTTATAACGTTTTTATTAAAAATTTAAAAATTCTTGATTTCTCTGAAAAGGTATGATTTTTTTAAATTTTTCGTATCATCCCTTAATTTCTAGCCCTCCTAACTATAAAAAATTTAAAAAAATCGCAAATAGAAAAATATTAAAAATTAAAAAATTTTTGATTTCTCTGAAAAGGTATGATTTTTTAAAATTTCTCATATCATCCCTTAACTATGAGAAATTTTTAAAAAATCAGAAAAATATTAAAAATAAAAAAAAATTTTTGATTTCTCGAAAAAGGTGATTTATTAAAATTTCTCATATCATCCCTTAACTTCTAGCCTTCCTAACTATAAGAAATTTAAAAAAAATCACAAAAAAAAATATTAAAAATTAAAAAATTTTTGATTTCCCTGAAAAGGTAAGATTTTTTAAAATTTCTCTTATCATCCCTTACCTTCTAGCCTCCCTAACTATGAGAAAAATTAAAAAATCACAAATAGAAAAATATAAAAAAAAAATTCCCTTCAGAAATTTCGAAAACAAGTTTCCATTATTTTAAATAATGAATCAAATTTGTATAGAAAAAAATAGTTTTAGTGTTGTTAAATCAATAAATGACAATTAAAAAATTAAAATTGTTATGACTTTTTTATTAAAAATTAAAAATTTTTCGATTTCTCTGAAAAGGTACGATTCTTTTAAATTTCTCATATCTTCCTTTAACTTCTAGCCTCCCTAACTCCGTTAATTCTAATTCTAGAAGAAAAAGTCAATAGATCATTTTTATATGATATTTATGATCTACAACTTTTGTAAGAAACTTTTTTCTAGCTCTTACCGCTTTTAAGTTGTCTTGAAAAAACACTTTATTATAGTTTTGTCCACCTCTGACCGAGGGTTGAAAAAAAATTGATCACTTATTGTTATTGTATACCTTAAATTAGTATACCAAAAAAAAAGGCAAAAAAGTTGACCAAAACTGCGAATCAAAGGCCCATTTAATTGGACTACTAACCATTTCCACCAACTTTTGGTTAGGCAATGAATAGGTAAGGTTTGCTTAACGGGGGAACGAGCAAGATCCTGAAATGGTTTCCAAAAATTTAAATTTTTAAGTGGTGAATGAAAGGCACTTGCAACAGCTCAAGTTTTAGAAATGTTTTCTTGCGGATGTCCTGATTCCCAGAAATTTGGACACAAGTTAAGAATAAAGGTTTGGCAGAAATCAAAACGGTTCTGAGACATAAGTTCGTTCCCTAGCGTTAAGAAATCCCTAAATCGGTGGAAATGAGCCTTAAGGGTCTAAAAGCTCGATATAATAAAGGCTTCGAGCATATACTCCTAGAGGCAGCCTTCAGTGCTGAGAAAGCGCGACTGGTATGCGAGAGAGAAAGGAGAATAAAAAAACATTCTCTCTCTCTCGCTCCGCGAGCTGGATTGGTCGGTGCGTGCTCCCCTCCATACCAATGACTGTCCTGCTCCTAAGCCCCGACCAATCAGCTCGCGAAGCGAGAGAGATAGCATGTCCTGTTATTCTCCTTTCTCTCTCGCACACCAGTCGCTCTTTCTCAGCACTGAAGGCTGCCTCTAGGAGTATATGCTCGAAGGATAAAGGTAGTCCTTAATTATAGGTTTCAGTTATGATTACAAACTAAAAAAACAACAAATATAACGTAATACCTAGCTTTTTTTCAATTTTGAGATCTAAAACTAAAAATAAAGTTGTGTCATTCGATGGTCATGTTTTTTTTGTGTTATTTTGTAACTTTTGAGACCACACCATTTGTAAGACGCCCGCGTGAATGTCCTCAATTTAGAAGTATGTAAATCATTTTTTTTTTGAAGAGATGATAACCGACTCATCCATTGTAGAGCTTTATTTCCTTGAGACATCCACCAAACCCTGAATACCGAAGACAAGCTAAATAGGAGAATGTTAAGAAATATAATTCGATCTTTTCAAAAAGATTTGGTAATTGCACATATCGGACATTTTATTGCAGAGAATTCTTCTTCACTTGCCATTTCTGTTAAAATGAGAGGTACAAAAAATAAAGTTTTACGCCTAAGAATTTTTCTGTATTAGAAAAGTTTCCAGATGTTGTGTGTATTTGTAGTCAGACGGTTTTGGATATAAAACAAATGTGATGGAAAATCATAACAGAATTTTTTTACTCACCTCACATTGAACTAGGAGCAACTTAAGGTATTTCTGGGCATTTCAGTGTTTAGTTGTTCCTGAAACTTATAATATTAAAAAAAAAATGAATAAAGAAGTCCAATAAGTTTCCAAGTCTGTAGATCTCTGCATTCCTAGAAATGGCAAGTAACCGTTCAAACTAAATAAGTACAAATTATAAGTATTCCGAAAAGAGATGTTAGAGAATTTAAAAAAAAAAACTTGCGAAATTTACAAATATACAAACAATAGTAATTCACTAAAGAAGAACTATTAATAATAACAAACAGTATATAACTTTTAAAAAAATACATTCATATTTTTAACATCCCAAGTTATAAAAATAAATTAACATATTCTTAATTGATAATAACAGTCATATCATGATTAAAATCAAAACAATTAACCTAAGATGAAGCCTAAATGTAAATTATACATAAATAGTTAACATCGTTCAGCGTACCCAGTGGATTTTATCGACATGTTTAACTAATTTCAGTTTAAGGAAATCTAGTATAAAATCCACTGCTGGAACGACATTTTTGCATTGTTATATCACAATTCACAATATTTAAAGTAGTGGATCGGTGTTCTTTATGGTGTTGTTATTGTCTAGGCTGTTAACAGTTTTGTAGTCAGGATGGAACAAGTCCATGCTGCTTCTCCTCCTACGTTTGTAGATGCACGTGACGATAACGATGATAAAGACAACACATGCGAAGACCAACAGGACTAAGATCGGTATGGCAACATTCCAATAACCTGCAAGATGAGGCTTTTGTAAATTGCAACGTAAAAGATTGATGAAAGGAAGTAATGGTGAATGCGATATTTCTATAGAACCTTATGGGATTTGGTGTGATGAAATCTTTGATACACTTAATAGCCGTAGTTTTCTTTTGAAAATGGCGCATTTATTTAGCAATCGCGAATATTATGATTCTTTTTGTGGGGATATGTGAAACGTGTTGTCTACGGAATCAATCTATATCGACCAACTGTGACATCGTATTACCGTGGCAATGTTGCAACGCGTGCGAGCGAATTGGATACGTCGCGCTGAAGCTTGTGTGCAAGCAAATGTTGGGCACATTGAACATCTTCTATGAAAATCAGTGGTTCTCAAAAGGTGGCTACTTGCAATGTTGAGGTAAATCAGATTTTAAAATTACAGTTTACTCAAAGAAATCCGTGTATTTACCTCATTTTGACATAACGGACATGCGGCTAAAATATTTGACATAAGTTCATTAACACTGTGTTATTGAATCATTTCCAGTTTCAATTATAAAACCATTAAGTTAAAAAATTTCACTTATTTTGAAAAATAAAAGTTCAAAAACATGTATTGTATCAAACTACACACCTAAATCTTTACATCAATTAGGTCCTGATAATACATCATTGCCAATAATATAATTGGGAGCAACCATGAACGAATATGGCTAAGTTTCACCTGCAGACATTTACAATCATCCAAGGAAGATATAGGTACTTGAAAAAAATGTTTCAGTTTTCTACATAAAACAGTCTACAGCAGTTAATTGCATCGCTAATAAGACTAGTAAATAAAATGAACAGCAGGGGGACAAGGGTTGAACCCTGAGGTACTCCAGAAGTTTTTAAAAAATTAGATTACATTTATCAATTTTTGCAATAGTTTTTTTCAAAAATTATAATTTTAAAATACTATTTTTTCTTAATTTTATCTGTATTTAATAAAAAAAATAATTTCCAAATAATTTTTTTTTTTAATTCGTTTAAAAAAAATTACTCAGGTCAACATTTGATCTAAGAATAATCACCGGACCTGACCAGGGTACTTATAGGTTTTTTGGATCGCTGATTCCGAATCCGAGGTTGGCTAAGCTCCATCACGTCCGGTTCAAGGTCATTTGAAGGTCAAATGGCCAAAAATGGTCTAAAAAATCTAAAAAAATTCATACGTATGTTTTTGGGGTAGCCGAGTTCAAAACCGCTGCAAATTTAACAATTCAAAGACATCTAAAGGTCGTATCAAGGTTATTTGGAGGTCAAATCGAGAAAGTCGGTCTAAAAAATCTGAAATCTTATATCTCGAGAACCAATAAACGGAATTTAACTTTTTTTTTTATAGAAGCGTCTTTCCGAGTACTTTAAAATTATAATTTTTGAAAAAAACTAAATTGCAAATTAATAAATGAAATATAATTGTTTAAAAATAAAAAAAAGTGTTAACTTTAAAAATTTACTGTGGCCGTCCTAATCAACCGATTTCAACTTTTCAAAAACCTTTTGAAAGGTTGAGCGGTTTTTTCTATGTGAAAAAATTTTCAATTGTCTAGATGCTTTATTTGAGGCTGTGCAGCATTTTGAACTTTCGAAAATTTTTTCTCAACATTTTTTTAAAAAAATTATTTTGCAAAACTATTGAACCGATTTTAATGAAATATGGTGTGTTGTTTTATTATACTCTAAAGTTTTTTTCACCAAAATTATAATGCCCTCAGAGGAATTAAAATATTTTTTTAAATTGATCCAAAAAACTTAGATTAGAAGTGGGATATTTCGACAGATCCGCTCTGCTCTATTAGCTAATTTCAAGATGACAATTTGAGACGACAATGATAGATTTTTGTTTAACTCACCTGCCTCCGTATCAGTTGGAACAACCGATGGTTCCGTGGTTGTAGAAGTTACCAAAATTTCCTTGAAGAACTTGGCGTTTGCATCGCCATTACCAGACGAACTAGTGTTGATAACTTCTACAAGAAGGGGAGTAACAGGAGTTGAAGTCGAGGTCGTACTCGTAGAGGTTCGTTGGTGCATATAATCCTCTACTATCGCTATTAAGTCTTTCATTGTAATGTTGTACTTCAGCAATATGTTCTGTGTTACTTTAACACTGTTGCACTTGCATATTTCGCAGCCTTTCTTGTTAATTTTAAAACCGTTGGTGCAAGTTCTGTTGCAATTCGCCAACGGTTGGCAGTCGTCCTTTTTGTGGATGGGTTCCTTCTCGCAGAAATCGGTAGAGCACTCTTCTACGCCATTGAGGCAAGTGCAGTAGGTGCAACCGTCTTTTTCCGTCCAGGTATCTAAATGCTGGTAAACAGCGTCGTCTTTGAAGCACGACTGCGTCTCGTTCTTTTGGATCTGGCTCTCCTTAACCTCGCAGAAGTGGGATATGCATTTCTCCTCGCCATTCATGCATGTGCAGTAAGTGCACCCGTCTTCTTTGATCCACTTATCCAGGTGTTTGTATATCTTGTGATCTTCCACGCAGGACAACGACTTTTCCTCGATAATTTTGGAACACAGAGACAAGCCGTTTTGACATTTACATTTCTGTTCGTCTACGGTTAACCATTCTTCTCCGTTTTGGTATACCATGTCCTCAACGCGGCACCCGTCGACCTCGTCGAGCCCTTTGCATTCGTACAAGTCGCAACAGTTGCCGGGAAATCCCAAACCGTATTTTTTTACTACGGCGATTCTGTTGTTGCCGCACTCCTTCTTGCAGGGTAGGCAAACGCAGTGATCGTCCAGGTCCTCGGTTTCCAGCTGGGTGGATTCGCTGTCCGAGGGACACGGCTTGCATATGGTTTTCTTGCAGCACCCGTCGTCTATTGTGACGGCAACTGACTTTTTGTCGCACAAGGGTGGTAGCTCGCATTGCAGGGGATTGCAAACACATACTCCTTTTACCTGAAGCAAAAATTTTATGTGCAACCCTTAGATAAAACTGTAAATTATTTTGTAACTCACCAAATGCTTTTCCTCATCGACGCAGTGGCACTGGTTCTTGGAATTGAGGACGGCTTCGGGGGCGCAGGGACATTTTCCGTCGATGAGGGTGTCGTTCCTGCAATCTACGCAATCGTAGATGGGGCAGCAGGAGCCCGGGACGTCGCTGGCATTCACCACGACGCTCAAAGCGGACAGGCAGGGAGGCTGAACACAGCTTTCTGGATCGCAAATGCACTCGTCGTCGTTCAATACGCTGTCGGGTGGGCAAGCCTCGATAGATGGCGCTGCCTGTATCGCTGAAATAGATGAAAACAGTAAATATAGGTTTTAAACAAAGGGAGTAAAATTTTTTTAAGACGAATTATTTTTGTTTATGTCATAGCCTTATACAGGGTGTCTCACGGTGACGGGCCATTAGAATTATTTCATAGACTACTTTGAATTTTGAAAATTTGGGATACCAGGTTTTAGGGTATGCCCTTCTCAACTAAAATAATGGCGTCTACGTACCACTTCCGGTTGTACCTGAAGTCGCCATCAACTTGCTTATTTTAAATGGAACGCCCTATATATTATTGCAATTTTATAGGTAATCTCTTCTAGTTTTTAAGTTATCTACTATTTTTTGTGTAATCACCTAAAATCATGTAATTAATAAATAATACTAATAGGCCGCCACTGTGAGACACGCTGTATAAAAGTTGCACTTGCTGAAACAACTACGTAGCGACACTATAAAGCAGAACTTTTTTTATCTCTGGAAATAAATGTGGATGGAAGTTAGCCAATATCTGGCTGCAGATTATGTAAATAATAGTCAGGAATAAAAAATTATTAAAAAAATTTCGATTTTTATAACTTAGTGGGGTTGTACGAGATTAGACATGTGAGGCGCCGGCGCCGTCGAGTTTACATTAATTTGTGCGGGCCCGGTGGGCATCCGGAAAGGCTTGCAGTCCGTTGCAGAACAAAAACTGACCAGTGTTCCTGCAACTGCAGAGCCCTTTGACTACGTCCCTGCTAGATTACAACTGACAGCCACATAATAGCGTCCGCTGCCGAGCTTGCCACCCCGGGGATGTATAAATAGTAAATTAAGACTGCCGCAGGAGCTGCCCACACATACAAACAGCAAACACGGCTGAGATGTACAAAGAGGGCCGGGATTACCATTTCAGCTTCAGCGGAGACTTCGTGGCTTCAGTTCGTGACAAGTTCTACTTGAAATGATGACGGCAGGAAGGTTACGTTTTAGGTATATCTAATTATGAATAGTATGCCTGACAGAAGTTTGGTTTTAAGTACCTACAGTGTATTTTATTTTTTCAGCTGAAGAGGCAGGAACCTTAAGAAAAATTTTTATATCTCTATATCCACTATTAATGTTGTGGGTACACATGTTCGCAAGTGACCCATGTTAAAGCATTACGTCAAGAGCGCCAGCAGGACACCGCCAGCGTTCCAAGAAGGGTCTACTGGCGCCGACGACCAGATGCGTACCCATATACCTACGACCGACTCCACACACACAAGGACTCTCCAGCAAACAGTCGTCCCGTCAACACGTCTTTTTCTATACAACTTAGTTTTCAATAAGATACTTTATTATTACCGTTGAGAGAGTGTTTTATTCTTGCTGTACAGCGAAAGCAGCCCTCAATATTAACAAATCGAAGACGAGTAGTGCTTGATTCACAATGGTGGGTGCCTGTAGGCTGCAAATTGGCGGGGGCCTATTCTAAAAAAAAATATCCTATTTGGTAGCCCCTCCCTCCAAATTTTTACATATGAAAGTACACCTTCCAAATCAAATTTTTACGTTCCTCATACCTCAAACAGCAAAGAAAAAATAGTGTCCTTAAAAAATATTGCTCGTGACAAACTTTTTTTTTTGCTGAATATGTATAGAATAAAATATTGAAAATTTTGAGAGATTTCAGCACTAAAAATGAAATACTTTTGATTTTCTAAGGTATATCTTTTTTATAGCTGTCAATAAAAGTTTTGATGCAAGCAACGTATGAACTTTTTTGTATAAAATATTTATCCAGCGCATAAATTGAAGTCTTTTTGTCACCTTTTTAATAAAGTTATTGTGGAGGCTTTTATAATGAGTATAACTCTTTGAAAAAAAAAATACTTCAAATTTAAAAAGTTTTAAAATTTTAGCCAGAAAATGAAATTTTCAAGAGAATTTGACATATGAATTACACAGGTCAACAAGAGTCAAGAAGCAGACACACTAATATGCATTCCCGAAGGATTTTGGTGCGCTGAATCCGAATCTGGCAGCAGAACTGCTCTATCACGTCAGGTTTTTGAGATATCCTAACCTAAAAGTGCAAAAAACACCGTTTCGTCATATTTGAAGTTATGTAGTAATTTATTTATTTATTTATTTATTTATTTATTAATTTAATTTAAATAAAAATACATATAATTTAAACGTACAGTACAAGGCTCCCTCTTTCGAATGCCGTTGAGTTTGCTCAAATATCTTTTTTTTTCGTTGAGATATCACATGTTGAAATTGCTAAGTTTCAGTTTCTTAATATGCGAAAATCTACTACGGAAGGTGTTTTTTGGCTTTAGTGTAGTATTGCTTATATGTATCTTTCGTGTTTTTCTTTCTTTGACTTGTGTAAACATTTTAATGTGTAGACACCAATAAATGATTTGATTTGATGACGAAACGTTACATAAAAAAATTGATTGTGCCATTCGATAGAGGGCAAAAAGTGGCCATGAGAAAGTGTTCTTCTTTTTCCAGTATCAGCTCAAACAAGGCTGAAATGAAACAAAAACGGATTTCCAAAATTTCGATTTTTTTTCAAATATTTCGAAAACTAATCATGTTAGCCTTGATTTTTTAGAGGCATAATGTTGGTCCCCTGATTACGCAACCTTGCCCCCATTTAAGCTACTTCGTATCTCTTACCATTTCCGAGATCCCTGTAGTAAGAAGCGAATTTGTAACAGCCCGTATAGCATATTAAAACTTTTATAACAGATCTATATGTAAATAGTTGTATTAATAGAATAATTCGTCTTCTAATGATTATATTTCCGTTTTAACGAGTAAAATGCGACTTACAATGGTCGTCACTGCTCGGTCCCGGTTACAATCGTGAATTTGCAACACTCCGCTGTGCATCGGCTATTACGTTTCTTCTAGTTGGATGAGATCATACAGTATACACATATATTTTCTGGGATACATGAGCATACCACGTTGTGTGAAGTGAAAACTTATCTAAGTACATAATAGCCTTATGGTGTGTAATTGTTTTGTTTTGTCCAAATGTTAAAAAGTATTATCTTGCAAAAATATAAGAGAAACAATTTCTTATAAAATCGTTTGATTTGTTTCTTGCATTGGTTATTTTCCTATTTACGCATCATGGATTTCTGTTTTTTGTTTTTTCTTCAATCAAATACAGTTGTACTTCATTACTGCCAGTATTTTCCTTTTACAAACTTGCGCATCCCAATTCGTTGTTGCGAAAAACTGGAACAGAATTGCATGTCGCTCTTATAGAAAATACACGTATCATTTGTATTTCATCCGGCAAGCATTTTACAAAGCAAGGAACATGAAAGGAAACATTTCATGCTGCGCTAGCTCCGCTCTTAATACAAGTTCCTAGTTTTGGGATATTCCTTTGTCGGATTCGGATGAAAAAATTAAACAGAATAATACAATTTAGAATAAATTCCAACTTTACGGAATATATCAGACGGAAACTACTTGCGCTTCTCCTCCCCTTCTTAATACAGGCGAATAACTAAAGCTAGAATTTAAATGCCATTATATTTGCACAAACAAAGGGTTCCGTTGGCGGATCAAAAAAGAATAACCTAAGAGCTTATCCTTACAGTTCCGCACAAAGGAACATGAACATTATTAATTTATTTTAAAAGTAAAGAAGTAAAAATATTACTTCCTAAAAATAAACTACGTCTTAAGAAAGCAGTAAAGAAACTAGCCGAGAAATGGCGGAGAAATATGTTAATTATATATCATGGATACCATTAATCATTGTTTGCTGTGCTCAAGCCTAGGAATAAGAAAAGTTCAGAAAGGTCCAACTTACACAAAGACACCAAAATCACTCCGATCGTACCAACCCTGCGCTCAGCGGTCGGTTCCGAACATTGTTAGTTGTTACACTTTGAAAGTTTATACTCCCCTATACACATACATATGTTCCTAACATTATTCTAATTTTCTGACGTTCTCGGGCTTTCTAGTTTCATGGAAGCTTTACAGGCGAGTACTTTTTTAATAATTCACAACTGAAGTTGAAGGCAGAATGCCTCTGAATCGTACATTAGACTGCATTTCATCCAATGCACCCAAGACGGCCCTATTTATCAATGCCAGAAAATAATAACCTCGCTGAATACAAAATCCGCAATGCAAGAGATCCGCTCCTCACGCTCCACGAGACGTTATTTACCTCAGAATCCCGACTTACGTTCATTGCAGCTCCGGCGATACGGCGCGGATGTAAACAGTGAGGATTTGCAATGAAATACAAGAGTAATAAAAGTCGCCGGTAGTCGTGCGCCTTACGGACTTCGATTCTATTAAGAAGGATAGCCGTTGAAAGTAAGTCCGGGAGATTTATGACCGTTTCATTTCGGCGTGGTTCTTTCCAGGGGACGGAAGGTTATTGAAAAATATTAAGCACGGGTGAAAAGGAAAAAATGGTCCAATCGTACACTGTTATTACGAAGATCGCGTCATAAATAAAAGATTGTCGGGACGAAATAGATTCTTTTCGATGCAGGATGTTTCAAAATATATATTTCAAAATCATAAACTTTTGGTTCTACATCAGTCCATGGCTGGGGATGTCTGGATTTACAATTTATCTGTTTCTAACTTAACATCTCTTTATAATACATGTAGCTACGATTATTCAGGAGTGGGATTGCCATTGATGGATGTAAGATGTTACTTCTGTTGTTGTTTATTCTGAGAAAAATTACCCTCTAAAGTTTATTGCAACAACGCACTTAACACCTTTTGTTATATCTAGCTCATTTTTTAATTAAACTCTAACACTAAATTCAAGGCTCTTGCTTAGGTGAATTACATAATAGCAATACACCTGATATAATACAACAGTAGGGCGCTAGTCGGGCAAAACATTTCATTTGATTTAAGGTAATTTCAGGATTTTCTGTCCTGGGATTAAAATATAAGTGCATTGCAGTTTATTTATTTCAATGTTTGGTGACAACAGGGGGTCAATGTGCCTTCATTGTTAAATTGTCTGATACTATGAAG